GAAGTGCAGCTTGGTTCGGGAAGTTGAAAAGCTACCTAGAAGAGTATGGGTTAGCAAGTGATAGTGGACTCCCGGCACTATTCTCAAGGAAGCCAGACAAAGAAGGATTCGGAATAATCGTGCTGAGTCATGTAGATGACATGGAGCTATACGCATCAAAAGAAGAATTCAAGAAGTTGGTCGAATTCCTGAGAAGCAAAGGATTGAAGATCAAAGTTGAAGGACCAATGGACGAGAATGAAGGATCAATGAGTTTCCTGAAAAGAAGTTTCAAGTTGATGGGAGATGGAAACGTAGAGATCACGATGAACTCAAAGTATATCGAAGGACTGGTAGAAGTGCTCAAGTTGGAAGGAGCATACCCGAAGAAACTACCGTGTCCAGCAGACAATGGAAGATCGTTTCAAACAAAAGAAGGTGGAATGGAACCGCTAAGTACAGAAGATCACCACACGTTCAGAAAAGGAGTAGGAATCTTACTGTATCTCGCGCCCGAGAGGCCAGACATCATGTACGTTTTGAAGAAACTGTCAACAAAGCTCGCATCACCCGTTGAAGCAGACATGGAACTGTTAAGGTACGTTGGAAAGTATCTCAAGGGATCACCAGAGCTCCCACTGGTACATCAAGGAAGTTACCCTGGAAAAAGTTTCCTCGAAGTGAAGAACAGAAGCAAGAAAGGAAACGAAAGGGACAACTACAAAGTGCCAGCACTCATAGAAGTGATAAGCGACAGTGACTGGGCAGCAGACCGAGAGTCAAGACAAAGTGTTTCATGCGGAGTGATCATGGTAAATGGAAACCTGATTCATTTCCAAAGCAAGAGGCAGAAAAGCGTAGCATTGTCATCTTGCGAAGCTGAGACAATCGCAGCGACATCAATCTTAAGCGAAGGTGTATTCCTGAAAGGATTGCTGACAAGAATCCTAGGAGTTGAACCAAGACTGATGTTATACAGTGATTCGTCAAGCTCAAGACAGTTGATCTCAAGAAAAGGTTTAGGAAGAGCACGCCATTTACAAGTGGACCTTTTATGGATCCAAAGAACCCCGAAGCTTATCATAAAGGCGATAGCAGGTAAGGACAATCCCTCAGACCTAGGGACCAAATCCCTGACAAGGGAGAAGATACGAAAGTATATGCTAAGCCTAGGATATACAGGTGAATTTCTGACACCAAGTGATCAAGAAGTTCAAGAAGCTGAAGTGAGAAGGACAAGAACAAGAAGTGTTCCAAGATTCGATGAAAGGATGATTACAAGGATTATCCAGACGGTTACGACCGCAGTGCTGATATCATTAGCTGAAGCAAGAAGATTCGGTGAAGAAGGAGAACAAGGACTGGGAAGAGCAAGTGTAGTTTGCATACTGTTGTGCATGTTTCTGTCAGCGATTATGCATAAAGTCGCAAGCGCAGCCGTTTTGCTCAAGAAACAAGTCCTGAAGGAAGAAGAAAAGGAAGAAGATAGGACAAGAGCAATGGCAGATGACGAAGCAGTCAAGTATATGATCACAGATCGCAGCAGAAGCATCGAGGCCACCACTTACCTCGAAAAAGTGCTCAAGAGAGAACGGTCAGAAAGACCAAGCGCTGATGACCTCTGGAAGGAGGTAGAAGCGATCAATCAGCAGTACGAAGTCAGGACCAAGAAAAAGGAGGAAAGTGAAGCAGCGTCGGATCCAGAGTCCGATGAGTCCAAGGATAGCGAGTCAGAGAAGGACGATGATGAAGAAGAAGTGCCAGAAGACAAGAAGGAAGAAGATTTGGAGACGTTCAAGAAAACTGCAGAAGAATTGGCAGAAGAAGCAGAAAGGTTGAAGAAGTCGCAAGAGGCTAACTTCGCAGCGTTGAAGCAAGGAACCATTCGGATACCAGAACACGTCCAGGAAAGGATAAGAGAGCAAGGAGAGATCATGGACGAGAAGCTACAGCAGCTGGAGGAGATGAAAGCAGCAGCCAAGGAAAGAAGAGCAGAAGTTAAAGCAGAAGCGGACACCGTTGTGGAAAAGAAAGAAGAAGAGGCTCGAGAAAAGGAGCAGCCAGTAGAGAAAGAAAAGGAGAAGCAAGAAAAAGAAGAGAAGCAAGAAGAAGAGAAGAAGGAAGGTGAAGAGCCACAAGAGAAAGAAGAAAAGAAAGATGCCGAAGAATCGGTAGTTCAATCTTCTGACGAGGAAGCCCGAGAAGCACAAGAAGCCCTCAGAAGTGGATTCAACGTAGACACAATGTCTATATTCCCAACAGTCATGGGACAGTTGAATATCGAAAGCATTCGGCAAGCAATGCCAACAACGTCGTTAGAAAGAGAATTCTTGACGTGGCAAGAACAGATGAGGCGCCCCGTTTCAAGACTTCCGTTGGGGTACGGAATAAGGACCGCAGAGTTTTTAGCACAAGTGGAAGACGACGTGCAAGAATATACGGAAAGCATGTCGACGCTCACCGAGGACGAGCGCAGAGCAGAGGAAGCTTACAAGCAAGCTAGAGAAGATATGGACCGATATGAGAAAGAACTCAAGAAGGAGATGAAAGAAAAGCTCGAGGCAAGGATGAAGAAAGTTCGAGAACTCGAGGAAGATGCAGTCGCAGCAAGAGGAGATGTTGAGAAGACAAGCAATGTGAGAAGTGCGTTGCAGCAGCTAGGCGAAGTGGTACAAGTGGCAGACAAGCTATTGTCAGCCTTAAGTGAAGAGTTCAAAAGCCTAGACTTGTACACAAGGCCAGATCCAGACAAGGAGAAAGAAAGACAGGCCTTAGCAAAGCTTATGGCGACGATCAAGAAGAAAAGCGAAGGAAGCAACCCGTCAACACCGGCAGCGAAGATAAAAGCAATGCCGAAGAAAGCACCAAGCGTTATCAAAGAAGGACTGACAATCTCTGAAGAAGAGAGAAAGGCAGCGAACACGAAGGATAAGCAGCTGGAGTTGAAGCGCAAGCTGAGAGAGCATTACAAAGAAGCGACAGAAGAGTCGATTGATAAAGCAGCAAGGGCAAAAGTTGATCATGCCAAGGATAAGCCAAGTGAGCCAGAAGGAACGCCACCAAAAAGGCAGGTGAATCCGTATTGGCTCAAGGACCACAAGGAAGAGTCATTCAAGAAGACCAAATACCTACACTGCTATTACTGCAAGCAGTCAGACAAGCACAAAGCCCCAGAATGTCCGGAGATGGAGCGAGCTGTCAGGCCGGACGGTCATTCAGATATACCGGCTGGGGTACCCATACCCCAGACATCTGCAATTACAAGGACAGCGTAAGGACCTACCTGGAAGACAATGCATACAAGTATGAGAAGGAGTTGAAAGACTTCCAAGAGACATTGGGCATAGGATACACGCCAAAAGACAGTTGGGGAGCAGAACCCAAGAAGCCCAAGCAAAGTGATGAAGCAAAGGCTGAAGAAAAGACCGTGAAGAAAGCAGAAGAGAAAGAGCCAAAGAAGAAGAAGCCAGCGGAAAAGTCCAAGAGCAAGGACAAGGACAAAGAGAAGAAAGCTGAAAAGGCCGAGAAAACCAAGAAGGATGAAAAGGTTGAAAAGGAGAAGAAGCGTAAGAGCGTATCTCCTTTCGATCAAGCAAGAGCTGAGAAACGCCAGCGGAATGAAGAAGAGCTGATATAAACCGTTGATATGCGGTGCGGTTTAAAGAAGCAAAAGAGAGTGAGGGCGTTTACAACAATGCCCAGCAGCAGCAAGGAAGTGAGGCTGAAAGCAGCCAGGCAAGAAAGTGAGGCTGAAATCAGCCAAGGCAAAACGTTTCACAAAGCTTTCGTTGTGAAGCTTGGAGTTTAAAGCTTTGGAGAAGCTACGAAAAGCCACGAGGATGGAAAGATCCCACGGCAACGACAAAGTCAAAAGCCACGTGGACGACAGTCCCACGGCAACGTCAAAGCACTACGAGCACCACGATGAATTCAAAAAAAGTCAATGTTTACAAAAGGACTAAAGACAGAAGTCCGACAAAAGTTTCCAGATTGCCGAAGGGCAAGGATGGACTACGACTACCTCGCGGATAGCGACGTGCAGAAAAAGTGAGTGTGCACGTAGAGTGGAGTGAGTCCATGCCAAATGTGTGTGGAAAGCAAATTCGCAAATCTGCTATAGGACATCTGAAGACTGAGGATGAAGACCAAAGGAAGAAAAGGATAAAGATGTTCAACAAGTGCTCAAAGAAGCGTGCGATAAAGGAGCTTGATCTTCACAGGTCAAGGATAAAGGCTCACAGGAGCATGCGAAAACTGTGGTCGAAGTAGGAAAAGTTTCACAAGGATCACGTGACACGACAAAGCTGTGTACGTGATGAGGGCGTAACAGAATGTTCAATTTTCCCTCATGCCCAATTTACCGCCAGTTTCGCTGCGTATCTCCGTAGGTCAAACGTAGGCTCAAGACAGCCTGACAGCAGAGCGAGTAGTGAGAAAAGAATCCGAAGCTCGCGCCGTGCTGTAACAAGGATACTGGTTTAAGGGTTTAAACTTTCATTTTTGCACCCCACCATGCGTAGGAGTTTGTATGGTCGTGTACAGTCATCATGTTGTGGGTACCGTTGCGACTTTGCTCTAGCCATCTGAGCAAAAAGGTTAGGGCTAACTGTTAGCCTTCTGCAAGGAATCATTTTCGCGTTTTCCGCTTCGCACAAATCGGAGTGGAACTCGGGTCTTGGCATGCGTCGGCTTGGGGTTTTGGGCAGGATCTCGAGCTGCGACGATGCCAAGCCCGGGAGGAGGAGGAGGAGGTGCTGCAAATGGAGGCATCGCTTCACCCGCTACGAATTATAATCTCTACTCTGACTATCCCATGGAGAACCGAACGACATGACGAAAGCGTTGAGCAGGGTTTCAAGTCGAGCGGAGGGAACACGTGGCCAAGGCTGGGATGGTGCAGCCATCGGATGTGAGAGGACAGGATTCATCAAAAATCTTTTGCACTTCTACAGGGTTCTACTGGTAGCTTCTGCTTGGCAGGATTTTTCGAGGGCACTGATTGGGCTCGTGAACACAGTCCCATGAGCTCAGAGCAGAAGATCCTCTTGGGGCCGCCTTCGGCCCACACCGCATCGGTCACCTTCACCCGGGCGCCTGAGCCTAGCAAGGCGGAGGCACGAAGCGAGCGCAGCGAGCGCAGCGACTCGCACACAAGCCAGCAAAGCCAGCCGAGCCGGCCGAACCCAAGCCGGCTTCTGGCTGTGCTTTCCCATTCCAGCTCCCCACGCGGCCTAAGCAGCGCACGGTCACCCGCCAGTCCCACGTACCCACGAGGCGCTGCACGGTCACCTGTCTTCGCGTACCATACACATATCCAGCAGAAGGCTCCGGCTCCCATCCGTTTTTTGTCGATCTTTCACACCTGCAGAGTGCACTGCGCAGGTGCCCTTTGCTGAAGTGGCATGGCAGAGGCCCATAGCGCTCGCCGTGTGCGGGTGCCGTTACTTGAGAGACTCCTCACAGCTCAGGCGAAGTTCTTTAGAGCTCCAGCTCCCGCCGCCACCTCGCAGTTTTCCAGCCGGGGCCCCGCGTTGGCCGCTCCGAGCGCAGCCCAGAGCCAGACCGCAGCAGGCACGGGATTCCGAGCTTCGCCCTGCCGATCTCAAGCTCACGGCAGCTTCTCTCAAAAGAGTGTCACCAAACACAGTTTCAGCTGGACTTGCCTTTGCGTGCTTTGCAGGTCCTGACATCGGACAGTCGCTTGGAGACCTTGCCGGGCTCCAGACTGTGAGAGGATACGGTCTTGGGGTTTCAGGGCCTTGCTGTTTCGAGGATGTTCCGCGAGGGCAACTTTGAGCAACAGGTCCTGGCCACGGGGACCTGTTGGGGGGCGCCCGGGAGTGGGGCCGGGCCAGGCCTTGGAGTTCCTGATGCAGAAGAAGCTCAAGGCTCTGCGTGAAAACCAGGGGTTGGCGGGAGCTGCTTCGCTTCTGCAGATTCTGTCCTCAGATCAGCATTCACCCCACATTTTCGCAGTTTTGGCTCTTGGTGAGTTTAGTGATGAGAGCCCGCTTGGTCTTGGTTTTCGCGGCTCACCATGTTCATAGAAGGCAAGGCAATGGAGTAGGAAGTGGCTGACTGAGCTTGTCATCTGCTTCCAGGCTGTGCAACACGCGATCTGCACAACGCTTCATCCATTCTCGCTTGCCACCGCCACTGCCACTGCTGATTCAGCCGTGCCCGAGCTGAAACAGACTGATTGGCCGTCCAGGGCCCCGATCCCCCGAGCCTCTGCGAAGTCGAGAATGCGACACGTTCACATCTAGGCAGAACCACGCTGAGTCACGGTCGCATTCTTTTTAGTTTTGTGGTCTAGTTGGGATGAGACGTAAACACGTAACCATGACAAATGGCACAATACTTTGACGAGACACGTTCAATGAGCATCACTCACCATGCCAGCACGTGTGAAGCGCCTGTAGAGGAAACAGGGCAGACAGGGCAGTCAGGGCCACGCGCGTACATGTGTGGTTCCCCATTGATTTTCCAGGTGTATTTGGTCAGAATGGTTTGCAGGAAGGAAGGGACTAGCTGGGGGAGTTTCGGGCGCCCTGTAACGACACTTGGCCACTGCTGTCAGTGTCGAAAGAGCGACATTCTCATGCCGTTCGAAGGTATGTTCTGTTCCACTCCGTCTTCGTCTTTCTCCTCTGCGAGTCTCTGGTGCGGGTATGGGACTTGATGCAGGTGCCGTAGTTTTGAGGCTGTGGAGACACCCTTCTTCGACTTTATATGTGTTCAGCGCTTGCAGGCAAGCAACTGGCTTGATCCGTCAAGCTTCCGATGTGGGGCCGCTGCTGCCCGCGGCACACCCGGGGCCATCATGAGACCCTTACGCTGGATGGCTTTGGCCTGCCCTCCTGTTACCATCATAACTTCTCTGGTGACACTTCGCCACTTGTGGCGCCATCATGTTGCAAAAGAGCGAACCTTCGACAAGAGCTTGCGCTGGTATCCTTCACACTCGCATGACTTAGCCATGCAAGTTGCCACCATGCCGCTGTCCGCATCTCAGAGACAGAGACAAAGTGCGGCTGCGCACTTTGACATGTGAGAATGCTGCAGAGCTTCACACTAGGATTTACGGCGTCTTCGCCCTGGACTGCGTGATTCAAATGCTGTTGCTGCTAACCGGAAGCGTTTTCCGGGAGTTCAAGAGTGTGGACGTATCCAAAGAGCAGCTTCGCCATCTAACGCAGGACCGCAAAGGGGTGCTGCGGTACATTGACATGTGACATCGTGTGAAAGTGCCTGAAGAGGGGCTGACGACTGCTGACGCTGATGTCTTATACAGGAGCGGTATGGGACGAATTTGGAATTGGCGGACCTCTACGAAGCCTGGGCATTGTACAACTTCGGCCGCCTATGCCTCATGCGAGTTCGCCGGCAGATCCGTGTCCCAGCTTGGCAAAAGGCGTAGCAGCGTAGTCCTGTGTCACCTGTCGCATCCTGCGGTAACGGCTTTGTACGTATCCTGTGGGCACTCGCTGACTTGTGCCAAGGCCAGGAAATCCCTCTGTTGCGACGGTCTTTGACCATGCCAGAGAGCGAGCATGCGAAGCTGCTCGACACAGCAGAGAGAGACGCTAAGACGCTAAGAGGCGTTGCCGTTTTTCGAGGTTGCTGATCTTCCGGGACCCCGAGCGCTTCCTGTTCCGGCCTTTGGAGGTGACCACCGGCATCGGCAACTCGGCCTGCACACGGCACCGAGACCGCTGTACGCAGCCTGCTCTTCTGTGCTCTCTTTTCTCTGCCTCTGACTTGCCTCATTGCTTCATCAGCGGCGGAGGTGTGAAGATCTTCGTGTACACTTGTGCCGTGAAGTCCTTGACGCACGGCAAGAACCTGCTGAAGTCAGAACTTAGACTCCCCTCGTCTGCCTGAGGATCTAGACGTCGGGGGTAATTAGCAATTGGGTTTATAATGGGTGTGCGTTTTTCCATTGCTTGGGGGTTGATTGCCACGGTAACCGGCCGTGCTTTGGGCTGCAGCCTCTGATCTTTGAGCATGTGACAATGTCAGGTTTGCGTTAACCATCACCTTCTTCGCTGATGCACCGTTTCACATCAATTTGAGCGAGACAGTGCCGTGGGCCTTGCAGCTGCTTCCGCACATGGATGGAGCCGCATTCATGACGTCCACCATCGACGCTTGGCGGCCCTTCGCGAAGACAGCCCACTGATTTGACAGCTCTTTGAGGGGTGCGTCTGCTCTCTCTCTCGACAGCTCCCATGCCCGCCGGCCCTGTGGCCCTGCTCCCCCGCTTTGCCCCGCTTGGCTTCGCCCTCGGCTTCGGGACCCTTTTTCCCGCTTCGATCTGCCCAGGCGATCCTGAGTTTGATTGCCATCGAGCACGGTTTCCATGAGATCCTGCAGCTACAAGGTTTCGCTCCGGTTCTCAAGTTCCTTGGAGTGAAGGCAAGGCGCTTGCCGCAGGGAGTCTCAACGGATGCGTTTAGAGAATTGCCTGAAGTCCGATGCTGCAAAGCTCACACATTTCTTCATGCTTTTCATGCATCCGTCTATGTTTTGTTGTTAGACTTCTGAACTATGATTACGACATGCGGCAAGCACTTTTTCTTGACGGAAGCTCGCTTCAGACCTACAACAGGCCTTGGTCACCATCACATGTTTGCAAACTCTGGTCATGGGTCTCGTGATGCAGCGGGGGCTGTTGCGGTCCGACGAAGCGAGCCTTTGCTATGCTTGCCTCCTTTGTTTCGAAGTCCTGCCTCTAGCCCTGTTGACTGCGGAAGCCTGGAAACCTCGCTATGCGGGCGACTGGTACGACGCTGATTGTGGATGGGGCCAGGAGGGCAACGGGCATTTGGGCCGCCTCGCAGGGGAAGGCGACTGGGCCGAGTCTTATGCTGTGCTGCCCGGGGCCCGGCTCTCGGCCGCGGTCTCCAGGGCCTCCTTTATTCGACAAGAGGAGCGGGCGCCGGGAGCGGGCGGGAGCAGGGCCGAAGCCCCGAAGCCTTTACGAGCCAATTCCCTTCCCCAGGACTCCAAAGGCGAAGAGATTGGGTCCTCCGAGCTCGTCCGCTGGAACTCCTTCTGCGAGCTCAAGCGAGTTTGGTGACATTTCTTGACCGATTGCAAAGTCATCGTGAAGCGTGTTTCCCGAACTTCCTGAAAGTCTTCAGTTCAGGTTGCCACCGTGCATTGCGTGTGGGCTTTTCACAGCTGTTAGCAGCAGCTTCGGCACAGATTCGTGCAAGTTTCATAAAAGAGGTTGGTTGAGTCTTGTGCGATGTGGCAACCGCACAACGAATGATGGGATACTAGCGTTCAGCAGTGTCTCAGTGGGCCAGGCAGCCTTCGTCGGAGGCATGTGGGGATATTCCTGTGTTGAATAAGTGCAAGAACCGGACAGTCACGCAAAGCTCGAAAGCATGTTTTACCTAAGAGCCAATCAACAGTTGTGTTGGCAGTTTGCTGGAATCTTCACGGTGCTTCGTTGGGAACACCGGGCCGGACCTAGAACTGCACAGTCTTCTGCGGCGAAATCCCTGTGCCACTGTGGGTTCCTTGGGTCTTACTCCACCAGGTCAAGACATGCAAAAATGCGGCTGCACATAGATCTTCTTGTGCATCGGTGTCGTTACCCGTCTCTTGAGCGGAGTTATTAGGGCTCCGGTTATGCAGTTACAGCCAGGCACATGTTGATGCTTCAGCACGTCTGACGCGTCCGGTTTCTGCAGCTGAGTGTGGTCGCGTTCCTGGAGATGCGATGGCAGGTCTAGCAGCCAAAATGAAGGCTATGGTCGCTGCTGGTCAGGCCGGGACGGCAGGCTTGCACAAGAGCGAGCACCTATGAGCATGACACTGCGACTGCCACGCAGCAACTGTGCTTCTTGCGCCTTGTCGGAGGCACAGTCTTCGGTTGACATCGTGGACTTGATCTGAAAGCAAGAGCGAAAAGGGGGTACTGCAGACGGACAGCCGGTTGATCGATCTTTCCAGTTCGCTGATGCATACCAGTGATCTGTCCGTCCCTGTCGTTTTGGGACACATCACGATTAGTCTGTCGTGAAACGCTTTGTCATTTCAACGCTCCTCGTTCAAGTTTGGTTTGCCTTCACCATCATAGACTCGAACTGCCAGCCACACAAAACCGCAGTGCAAATACTTTCCTCACCATGATCTCGGTTAAAAGGGGGTCTGGACCCGAGGTCCCAAGAGCGCAGCGTCAATAAATACATACATAGGTATAGAGAGTGTAGGACACCCGTCTGCAAAGCGAAAATTCTTTGCTTGTCATGCCCACACGATCGACTCCGAGGATCTTCATAAGTCGATCATCATGAAACTCGATGGTTCCGTGGCCATTTTGGTAGAAGATTCGAATTCGATATTGTCTTCTCCTTCGAAGGCATGACCGACAGACCTCGTGGGATTCGTTTTTGTGTCACGGGCCCATCGATGCCCATGTCCCTCGGTCCATGCTCGAGGCTTGCCCCGAAGAGGTGCAGTCGTTCATCGTGGTTCAATTCGATAAGATGCCTGCTTTGATTTACCCGAGGTATATCTCGAGCAAAGCTGTCAATAACTGCCCGAACTGCTGTTACATGCATACAGCTTTAACGACCTAAAGGGTCTTGCCCGAATTGATCTGCCACAACTGGTTTCAGGGTGTGTGTGATTACTTGCAGAGCTGCTGGAACCAACACGGTTACAACTTCGAAGCTGCGATGCGGTCTGCATTCCGGCTGCAAATCACGATGCGAGGGAACCGACTCCCTATTCAGCTTGAGGGCAGGAGCGGCGCTCAAATTGGACAGATCAAGCACGACGCGCAAATGGAGCTTCGGCACCCACTTCACGACCTTCTACGACTACCGCGAGTAGGATAACTCCCCCGATGCCGTCCGATCGAGAACACCGACTCGTGTTCGAGGTTCCTTTCCGCTGGTGACCTTTCGTCAATCTTTCGCACAAGGACACCGACCCGGATTCTACAACTGCGCCGATATTTAGTGGTGATACTCGAGCTTCTTCCTTTAGTGCTCTCGATCGGACCACGAGAGAGCCGTCCGGTGCAGCGCTGGCTGTCCCCTGCAAATCCCTGCAACAAGCACAATCATCCCCGAGATCATCGAGGTGGATAATGACCCAGTTACTGTGCTCCCGACAGGTACTGCCCCGATTTCTTTTAAAGTCACCGTTTCAGCCGGGCTTGACGTCCGCAACCTGGATGCTCGGCCCTCCTGGCTGTCGACTTACAGGACATCGTCGAGGTCAGCAAAGGCAGGACATCCCTCGACGAGACAAGCTCCAATCCCGTTCAGCCCGAGATGCCTCGGTGTTTCCAATCTGGCCGACGCTTCGATGCAGTGCCGCTACGACACCGGTCCTTACAGGCACAAGTCGCTCCACCCCTCGGCAAATCACTTATGACGGGGTTTCCTACCTGGAGCAAGTACTGCGACGCCCAAAGTACAGTTTGCTTACCAACTTCCGTTTGTTCGTCCGGCCGGCGATGTTCTACAAGAACGAGTGCTCTTCGGCAACCTGGCATACTCGATGATATGGCACGCTACGTTGGCCTCTCTCTCTTTCGTCGATCTTCATCGTACGAGTGTCAAAGACCGGATGACTCGGCTACGCCAGTAGTGCGCCATCTCCAACGACCGTTACAGCTTGTCCCTCCAGCAACACTCCGGGATGGCCTCCGAGTTTCTACGCGGGCAGGTGTGTGCCGTCTAGGAATGCACTTCACCGATGTTGGCGCCGAACATGCGGAGGTTCGTGCAGCAGCCTGACATGGCAGCGATCATCGTCGCAAAGCCCCCCAACTTGCTCTTAAGCGACGCTGAGTTTGAAGTCGGCGAACAAGCCTGATCTGAGATCGATTGACTCGCCGATCCGTGTACAGGTTGCGCCTAGGCGACGTGCGGCACCTGCCGGAATACTCCACACGAGTTCGATGAAATCGGAGTCCGGTGTGTTTCCAATGCTGAATCCGATTAAGCGATGCTCAGCGAACATGCTTTGAGGACAGTTTCGAGAATAACGTCTGTTCGCATCGTTTCCGCGTAGACATGTCACCCGCATGCTCTTGTAGGAGACTATGTGGCTTCTGTTGTTGCGCTCGAAACAATAGTACTCGAGATCCAGTAGTTTCCTTCGAGATGTCCAGATGCACCCCGAACCCCATGGATGTGCGACGTCGATCCAGATTCCCTCCGGTATCCGACGACAACTCACCAGTGAAGACGCCGACGTAGACAGTCTTCCACGACCGATTGCAATTTGGTGAGCAGGGTCGACTGCGAGCAGTCCAAGCACGTCGACGGCATCGACGGACCTCGAAGATTCATCGACTGCACTTTTGTGGCATGTTCTTCCCACCGCACTACCTGTTGGGGAATTAACGCCGATGAGATCGGCGACTTGCGAAGTTGCCACTATACGTGCTTCTACCAGTGCGGAAATCAGTTAGCATAGGGCATGGCCAGTTTGGGGTATTACATCACCGCAAACATATATAGCCCAATAATCACAACTAGTAGCTCATTATCCTTAAAATACTCTATCTCATTCTATTTATCAGGTGATGTAACATCCTAAACTGGGCAAGGTTAGGTTTATTCATTTCATGGTTCATAGTACGGGGTGTTGGGGGTTTCAATAATACTTTAATTTTATTATTAAATTATCATTGATGCATTATTGCATATAATGAGGCAAATGTCTTCCGTGTTGTCGTTTGTTCTGGTTTTTCTTCTAGCTGTTTCAAGTTATTCTGGTGGGTTTGTGATTGTTCATGTTGTTTCAGTTTGTATTTCTTGATGTCGTAATTACAAATGGGGCAAGTAAATATTTCGTCTTGAAATTCTGTTCATTCGGTTTTGTCTCCATTCTTTTACTTTTTCCGGATTATTTGCTCTGTATTCTGCTTTAGTTGCTCTCTCGTGTTCCCTTGCTATTTCTGATTTATTTTATCGTTGTCTTTTGTCCTTTGCTCTACAAGTGTTACAAGTTTTATATCCTTCTTCAAACTTTTCAATTTTTGGATGTCCTTGACATTTACTGCAATATTTTCTTTCACTCATTTTCACTATAATATATTAAGTCGTTATTTCTTTAAGTGTTTTTCTTAAGAACCATTCCATAAGAAAGCTCCCTGGGCTTATTTTCTCTCTTTAAACTTAGATTTTTATGATGTTCTATACAAGCTCTGCGCGCTTTATTGTATACTCTTTTGGACTGTTTACTTACAAAATCATCTACACATTTTATTTGTTTACATATTATACACTGCCTACATTGTATACACTGTGCTTTGTAATCTCTACCAACATCAAATTCAACAACAATATTATCATCTAATGTACTCATTATTATTAGATGATAATATTACGAATAGGTTTTTGTCTCTTCGTCATACTTTATCTTATAATATTCAAGGGTTGTTTGTTTTGGTTGTAAAATTTCCTTGTTATCCAGTTTAGTTAAATATGTATTCTTCTTATTCTCATACGTTGCATCAACTGGCATTCTGTTAAAGTTTCTTGTAGACCTTTCATTTAATAATTTTTCTATCCTCTCTAGTCTCAGTATGACGTCTTGCTTGAACTCAGGTTTATCACCCATATACTAATATCAAGATTAAACTTTTATAATAAAACTTTTATAACAAAAGTTTTATTACAAAACTAATTCTCGGTGCTATCTTATGTAGCACCAATTATGTAAGCGTGTCCGCTACTTCCCTTTCGCGTTTCGCTCACACAAAAGACAACACACAGGGATTCACTGCTATTGACGGGGAACTTCTCCTTCTTCCAAAAGTGGCATTTTAGCCATGTCATGTTATAGTAAAAAGAAGCCTTTAAATATTAATCAATATATTAATAACATTTTTTTTATATATGTATTAATAATAATGATTGCACCTATAGTCAAGCCAGTAAATGTTAAAGAATATGATTTCAAACAATCTAAATATGAAATAGCACCTAGACTACCGTTTAGTCAAAAAATAACAGGTCCTAGCGGTTCTGGTAAAGGTATATTATTACAATCAATGATATTAGATATCTATCGTGATGTCTTCGCTAGAATATACATTTGGAG